GAAACATATCAACATGAAGTATAGTTCTGAAGATCTCGTCGAGGCGGATTTAATGGTGAAAACGGATTTTTAATTCGATTTTTTAATTAAGAGATAAAACATTTTTAAGCTAAAAACCAAAAAAATTCTGGTGATGTCATCTGTTCACATGTGGCAAAATGAATGGTAAAAGAAGCGTGTGAACGATGTGCAAGATACCATACATGTGGACATTAGTTTTTTTCCTTAAATATACTTATATACTAGCATGCGGAGGCGCGACGTGCGACCGCGCCCGTCAAAGAGCATATGTGTGTATGTAGGTTGTCTTTTGTTTTAGTGCGAAGAGATGTGGCTATGGATTTGAAGGCGAGCCCGTGACGCGTGTGTTCTTATTTGTTAGCTATATTAATGCAAGTCATTTTGTGTTGCGTGCATCATGATGCTAGAATTTTATTTTGCATATAACATGGTAAACAAAGGTAACGTTAGCAGATGTGCCTGCTTCTTTAGGGCATCTTCAATGACAACTCATAAATTTCCTCCTGCATCCGTCCACAAACACGGATGTAAGAGGCCGTCATCCAACCGTAGTCGTATATCCGGCATTCCTCTTTTTTTTAAGGAAATCGATTAGTTTCATCCGGCTGTAGACTGCCCAATCAACAACCGTCTTGTGTGACGGACACGTGTCATGTGGGCCAGGCACTGCATCTCATCCTTATCTCCACCGCCGCACCTGAGCCACCCATTCGTCTTCTTCTTCCTCCAAATCCCGTTGAACTCCACTCCCCTGCAACCTTTCTTATGGATCTCATCCATGCTTTCTGCCTCAACTCCGGTAGCTCGGCCACCACAAACTAGACTCCAACGATGTTGTGAGCTATGCAACTCTAGCTGCTCTGGCCACCGCGCTCCTGCTTCAACGCGGCGGCTTCGTCCATTGTTCCTACAGTCTTCTTGCATGTGCTTGTGGTTAGGGGGACGCTAGTACAAAGGAAGCTTGCCTGCGTCGAAAGACGAATTTGACTAGTGTTGCAAGTCGGGCCACCATGATGCAAGATGTCACTGCTGGAAGCACTGCAGCAACGTCGGCTGCTGCCAGCGCGACGACTGCACGGACTGCTCGGACATGCTGCGACCGTGGCGCGACTTCTTCGGCGATGTTGCGACGGATGCTACGATGGCGTCCTAGCTGCGACGATGCTGCTGCGATGGCAGCGAGCCGGCTCCTACAAGCATGACGGTGGCCCGACTGCTCGGCGATGCAGCAACAGCGGTGTGGCTTCTCTGGTGATGTTGCACCGGAGGTGCATCTTCTCCGGCGATGTTGTGACGACTAGGCGGCGGTGACACTACTGTGATGGCGCCGAGTGGGCTGCAGAAGTGTCGATTGCTGCGAGCGCGATGGAGGTCGGCTGCTCGGCAGTGGACGGTTGCCTGGCTTCTCCGGTGATGCTGTGACAGTTGCTGCGATGGCATGCTTACAACTGTGATGGTAATGCGGCTGCTCCGGTGATGTTGTGATGGTTGTTGCGACGATGCTGCTCCAACGGCCATACCGTGAGCCGGTATTGCAACGATGGCCGTGCTGCGAGCCGATGCTTCGATGGTTGTGCTGCGAGCCGGTGCTCTGGCAGCGCCATTGTGCTGCCAGCAGAGTCAGCGAGACAGTGCTCCGACGGCACCATCATGCTGCTAGTCGGGTCAGCGAGCCGGTGCTACAGAGAAGAACGACATCGCGCTACAAGATGTTGACGAGGAGTGTCTTTCTTTGCGTTGATGCATCTGATGGTTGGGACTTGGGAACACTTAG